ATGAAACTAGATATTTTTATATTAACAATATGACTTAAGCAATTATATTAATTAATTATATTGTCTTTATTTTTAGCTTTAACGGATCAATTATCTCTTGTCGTCTTCAGGTGAATAGTGAATACTAAATGAACTTTACGCTTACAAACTTAAAATTCATATAAAAATATTTCCCTTCTCATTTAGTTTTATTTATGTTGTGTTGTCTATATTATATAATATATATAAATGAGGTGGTGGAATTTACCCAAATAATCTTAAAAATACTATGAAATTTATATTCATTTATGTTGTGCATTACGTCGACGTCGCGTCGTTCTGAAAACCAAATGGAGTCGGTATTATAATTGGGATTCTCCGAATCACTAAGCATTATATTCGGATATTCCTTGAAGAAGGTTACAGGTAAATTGAAAATCACATACTCATAATAACTTATTCAAAATCCCTATTATTATTATTATTATTATTATTATTATTATTATTATTGTTATTATTATATATTGATAGATAACCGTCTACAATTGCAAGATGTTATTTAAAACATTTTTTAACTAGTCAATTACGAAGTGGTCAATTGACTAGTCCCCACACTAAATATACATTTATATAAATATATATCTGCATGGAATACAATAATTTATTCACTGAAATTTAAACAGAGCGTCCCAAAAACATACGGAGACCATCAAGGAACAGATATATATAAACCAAGAATTTTAAATAAATAAATAAATGTGCGGTTCGAGGTAGATATTTTATTATATCCATGAATATTTTTTATCTACAAAATACTTCAATAACCTGCTATTACATGAAAAATTTTTCATAGAAGGTGAAAATGTAATAGTAGACAACCCTCCAATCAAAAAAAATAAATTGCTATAATAAAACTAAAACCAATGTAATTTGTAGTAACCTAATATGGGAACATTCAACGGGCGATGAGCACACGAACCCCATCGAATTTGCCCGTATTTCAGATAAATAAATTTTCAATTTATGTTTCCCGACATCCCGTAACACGTAAAAAGGGGTCCGGGAGGATATTAAACCGCAAATTATTATCGGTCGACGTCATAATTGGCGTAATTATCTCGAGAACGGCAGCGACCTCCATCGTCGAGACGAGAGTCCCAGATTTCCGGGCAACTAAAATTTCCCGCTCGCCGAGTGACAGACGGACGTGTATATATACTCGAGTGTGTGATACGAGTAACGACCGGTCGAGAGAGAGGGGGGCGTGCCCATTTCCGATTAATTAGCCAAAATTAAACATGGCCACCGAACGGCGGTTACGCCCCCTCGTTACGAGCCCGCGGCTGGCCCCCCGAAACAATTGCCGCCGCCGCCGCCGGTTCCCCGTAATTAGCGACTCCCGTTTGGACCGCCCGAAACCGTATTTCGATATTTTGATTAATTGCCCGCCCTGCAATTACGTGCCGCCGGCTTCTGTTTCTTTTTTTTTGCGCTTCGGGGGATAATCGCTTCGTGCCTTTGTCTCGTGTGTCACTTAACTGGTCCACCCGATTCGCCGTTGACCCCCCGAGAATCTCAAAAATGAATCGACGTTACAATCATCGGTCATGCAAATAGTAATAGTAAAATTCTTTTACTTAAAAAAGTTGAGATTAGGGTAATAATTTTTGAAGCTAAAGCCTCACTACTCAAATTTTCTGAATTCCTTCAGCGTCGGTTGTCAATAAATTCAAAGGTTAAGCTCTGAATAAGCCAACAGGATGATTGTCGCAACGTCAGCAAATTGATCAGCAACCGATGCAACAGGAATCTAGAAGACTTTTAAATAATATTGTAGCCTGTAGCCTAAATATTCTGGATTTAAAATTAACTCATAGCAATGGCTTTAGCAACCACAAATCAGACGAGAGTGTTTCCAAAAAAGGGTTTTTAGAAAACTGAATTCTAGATATATGCCTGCCTCTTGAAACACGCACAAATTGGTCAGATGTCTTCGTAAAATAGTTAACAGTCTTATGGAATTTAGTTTTCTGTGTTTAGTTTACACATTGACATATTAAAAATAGATATTCATTTTCTTAAGTGTTACTATCATATAATATGTACAAGATACTGCTCCAACAACCGCCTTTTTCCTTTTTTCGTAAATAATAATAGAGCAACAGAATTAAAGTCAATCTACCGTATCAGTTGATTACGGTATTAGGTCACAGAGGTATGTCTTCTGCTGACAGTTGGCAAGGTAAGGCAAGGCAAGGTTGATATTCGAAGATTTAAAAAAAAACCTCGAAGAGCTAATTCAGCATTATTCTTCATCGGTTAAGGAGAATATATCACAATGAGATATTAAATGTAAATAAAATTTAAAAAGACTTTTCTTAGGTAAAATACTAATTTTAGCATCTCGAATGAACAATTAACATTTTATTTAGTAAATAATAAAATTTAAAAAATAAACAAACCTTACACCTTAGGGTAGATAGTTTTACAATTATATTTATATATATATATATATATATATATATATATATATATATATATATATATATATATATATATATATATATATATATATATATATATATATATATTTAATAAATTATGTATAGATATTCATAACAGGCCGTAAAGTGAAAATTCCAACTGTTTAAGTTATTTTATTCATCAGGTTGGGTGGAGATGCGGTTTTCATTGGGCTGTTGTTTATTTTACTATAAAAAAGGAAAGAAAAAAGAAAGAATATAAATTTCCAAATTAGATTTACATAATACATTTTTTTCTTTCAAGTTTCTAATACTATCCTAAGTTCCTTAAGGTATATAACATAAGATTTATCTAGAGAGCCGAATTTTATTATTTTCCAGGCAGGGTACAAATCGCGAGCCAACAATGTTTTGGTCCACCCGAATTTTTCACACGCACCATCTGGACACCGGGCGCGCACCAACACGAAGTACCTGTCTTGTAATAAAAAGAACCCGAAAATGTAGATATAACTCAAAGTAAACCAAAACCTAAAACAATAAAGGCTTGTTTGCACATCGTAAGGATAATTTCGGTATTTTCTCACTTCTTCGACAAATTTTACGTGTTGTTTCCCCGCTGTTTGTCTGACGTTGTTTGCGAGGATCATTACGTCGTTAAGGTTCTACGTTAATATTTACACAGTTGTCAACCCTGCTTGTCAAACAAAGAACAAACGAAGACCGTGTGTGCACTGGCGCCACGTTGCCGCTTCGTCTGGCTTACTTAACGGATAAGATTGTTACTTTCCTGGTTTGTAATATATCACGATGCGAGTTAACAATTGAGCTTGCAATTGGTTCAAACCGTGACTCTGTTTTAGCAAACTGCCAAAATCGATCATGTCCTTAAATTAACGGGCAACGATCGAAAACTGATAAGTATATACGTATATAAATTAAATTCTCGATTTTAACAACGTACTGCTTTGTTTAGATGTTGCTAAACTTTCGCCAAAATTGCTGCTGGTTTCTCCAGAGTGCTGTCTGTCCTCACGTTACTAGAGAACACGCTACCTCCCAAAATGAAAAAAGTAAGAAACAATACAAGCGCTTTTACATAAAATAGTTTCAAAAGTACTATCTACAAATCTTCTGGATTGCTTCTGCGTCGGTTGTTGATAAATCGAACTTGCTGACGTTTCGCCAATCATCTTGTTGGCTTCGTCAGACCTTAACTACAACTGTTTGAGTTCCCAGCTTGGAGCATGTGGATGTACCTTTCTCAAATTTATTATTATTACTTAATTATTTAATTGCTGTGATCTAGTTGTGGCCTTTAACTTAATTTTGGAACTAATCCTTGCCAGTTTTTAGTAGGTATCAATATGTCACATTCATTTTAATTAGTTCAAATTTTCGTTCATTTCATTTATTCAAATAGTCATTCAATCACCATCAGAAGGTAAGTTTCATTGCACTAAGTACTTTACAAATAAAACATTAACTAGGCTACTGGGATGTTTTAACATTCCTTCCACTTGATCTATTTGTACAATATAGAAAATGAGGTATAAATTATATAAATTAATCTCTTTACAAAGTTTTCAAAAAAAAATATCTGATCTACCATCCTGTATTACAAAAACTACACAAATGAAAGATTATTGCAAAATCCCAGAGATTGTGGCTAAAATGAGATTTGCAGACGTGAACTTTTCAAAACACCCATTGTAATTACTGTAAAAAGCATCAAAATAAACGAAAAAATCCATAGCTAGTTGCTTTGCAGAACTGCTTACAACAGAACGGATCGGCAACGCCGGATAGTCTTCTGAAGAATTTATGGACGAATTAAAGATGCTTAGCTCGGTCTTCTATACGACGTTCTTTGCCTAAGTCTTTTGTTGTTTTTAGGGTTCGCGCTTTTAGAGGGCGTTAAATTATGAGCTTTTGATTACGCAAATGAACTACGAGCCTAACAGGCCGTAAACGGAATTTACGACGCCCGTTTGTCCAAACGAATTATTTACTCATCTGCCGACGACGTTCAAAGCGATTACATTGTTTTTAATTGAAATCATTATTTATTAACGCGTCTTCGGTGCGGCGTGGGTGAAATCCAAAATATAATTTAAATATCAGCGACGTTTATGTGCCCATCATATTGTTAAAAAAAACTAGCCAATACCTACCAATACTTTATAATTTAAGGATGATTAATTTAAAAAACCGGGACAATAACAAGAAATAACAAGTATCGCAAGTTTCATAAAATACGTGTATCGAAATCAGAAAAATATATCAATATCGTAAAAAGTCGTCCACACTATCCAAAATATGTATTTAAAGCTTTTTATGCAATTAACTAATGATAAGGGCCAGGTAATGTTCCCACAGAATTAATCAAACATGGCACACACAAACTGTATGAACATCTAGCAAAGCTCTTTCAAAACTATATCAACGGCGGAGATATCCCAGAAGAATAGAAATTATCACAAAAAGGGCAACAAGGAAAACTGCAACAATTATCGAGCTATCGCAGTGACAAGCTCAATGGGACTGATTGACGGTAAAATATTAAAAGCCAAAATAGAACGCGAGTACACAAACAGTGAAGCAGAAGAACAAGCGGGCTTTAGCGCGGGAAGATCCGTCGTTGACCATCTGTTTTGCGTCACCCAGATTATCGAGAAAATGACAGCCTTCAATAAGGAGATACATCTCCTGTTCGTGGATCTGAAGAAGGCATGCGATAGAATACCGCTAACAAAACTTTGGGAGGCATTAGACCAGACAAACCTAAGCCTCAACATAATAAGATCAGTGATAGAACTAGGTAGAAACTGCCACATTAAAGTCAAGGTCGGCCAAAAAATGTCCAATGGATTTACACCCAACAAAGGACTCAAACAAGAGTGTTCTGTATCCCCCACCCTGTTCAAGATATATCTTGAACAAGCGTTAAAGTTATGGAAGCAAAAATGCAGAAATATGGGCATCCCCTCAACAATGTAAAGATATACACCGTAAGCTTCGCAGATGACCAAGTCATAATGGCGAAAGACTACGACGACGTAGAATACATGACGCAAAAACTGATCGAAGAATACAAGAAATGGCAAAGACAAAGTATATGTGTATCGTTGGAGCACAACGCGACCTCCTCTTAGAGGATAGTCAGGCTATCAAAAGCTGCGAAACCTACAAATACCTGGGAATGTACATATCCAGCAGTGTGACGTTAGACTACGGGCATCAAAGAACGAAATAATCAAGGCAGAAAGGCCATTACTATGCTGAACACCTTCTTGTGAGACCAGAAAATCACGAGACGAAACAAACACCTAATATACAATACGATCATTAAAAGCGTAGTCACATACAGTAGTAAAGTCTGGCCACTAAAAGAAAGAACCATGAGAACGCAGCAATTCGCACAACCATGAAGGTGGGCCATACGATTTCAGACGAAATAAGAACAAAACAGTGGTACGGTCACGTCCAAAGAATGGAAGAACAGCGACTGCCTAAACAAATACTCACCTGGACAACCTACAGGAAGAAGGAAGCTGGGAAGACCGAGAAAGAGCTGGAGAAAGGGCATCGATAGTGAAATATAATGGAGACGACTAGACGAGGACCTCTGGAAGAACAGGAATCGTTGGAGATTGGGAATCGGACGACGTCGGAGGACGTTTTCAAAACCGATAGATATATAATAATGATAAGTTATTTAAAAAATCTACTAATAGTTTGTTGTTCAAATTAGGTGCTTTATATGAAAAATGTCTTTGAAATAATTCAGTGTTATGTGAAGGTAAAAGTAACTACTATTTTTCCTTGTATTAGTAATATTCAGCTCATTAAAAGATATAAGCTATAAGCTTTTTCGACCAATAAGATGGTTTTTAAGTACGTTAGTAAGTAGGAGTTAAAGGTAACTTCAATATTTAAATATATAACGTATAACGTAAATGAATGTCTCATGATTTCAAACGTTGTAAGAAAATCTAAAGCAAGTTTTTTGAACTTTCTTTGGTCTGTCACTATCCCAGGTCGTTATAGCTTGGAAAAAATTAGTGACTGACACAAATAATTTACGGTTGCAGCTCATGTTTTCATGACTTGTGTAGAGTTTTATAAACAATATAAACAATGCATAAAAGTAACTTTATATCCATACTCCGTAAATACATCGCTAGTTCCAAATCAGCAATAACTTAATTTCCAATTAAATTGTATTATTATTGTATTAAATTGTATTATCGTATTGTATATTATATATCGTTGTTTTTATTGCGGCAAGCTTATGGCATAATTTTTGTCAACTCTAAAAATTAATAATATACAGGCCATACAGGACGTGAAGACTTGGCCGATTCATACAGGGCTTGAGCTTAAGTAATTACATCTGAGAAAATCTGACGAAAAGTATCTCACTACTACATTAACTGGCCAAAAATGTGATATTAGGAAAGCTTATAGTTCTAGCACAATTACCTGAGGTTAACTCAATATAAATACATTGCCGAAATGGCAACATAACACCCTCTACTTCGAAAATTCAAAAATTTGTTTTTAACATTCGTGAAAAATTTCGCTGACAAAATTATTCAATTAAAATTTTAAAATTGCCATTTTCAAATAGGCAGTGTGCTATGTGAATGAAATAAATTCGGCACGTTACCCGCCACTGAAGACGCCCCCCCTGGGGCGAAACGCACGATTTTTTCCCAAGCGCATTTTATCGCGGCTCTTATTATAATAATTTATAGTATGGAAATTAGTGTTCGCGGTAGCACAGCGTTCTATACTCTACAATTTGTGCCCTTATCGCCAAAATGAGAGTTTTGAACTCTGTGATAGGAAGGTCGGTCGCAAGAGAGAACGGCAATAAACGAAAATAACGCGTGGGGATTTATAAAAGTCAATCGAGGGATCTCCCTGTTGTGTCAACAAAATGTTGAGTTATAATAATGCGGCAACCTAAGAAGGCCGCCAGAAAGTTTACGGTTTTAGATTTTTTTTTACTCGTAATATCTTCTGAATAATAGGACAAACTAGGGCTGCTTATGATAGAGGTAAGTTATCATAGCGAATAGATATTAGGTGCGCGCAAATTCAAGCTATACCTATACCTATGACATTAAAAGATGTGACATTTTCGTGTTTAGCAATATATGTATAATACTTTGTAATTGTAATTTCTATAATAATTGAGATGAATGTTCCTGCGAACGTTTGTTTTGGTGTTTGGACTTAACAGACTTTTGTTATAGACAGATTTTGTTTCAGGCTAATCAGTTTTAGTCAACCTACACATGGTTGTCAATCATCACTACATTCATTCCAATTCTCTATAAATTTGTATGATTTTCTCTGGATGAGGAATATATCTAGAACAAAAAGAACTATTCTGGAGGAAGACCAAATTTTAAAAAAATCATGATTGCCCAAAGAATTTGAATTATATCATGTGACATGAATTAACTAGATATTTGAAAAAAAGGTATATTTTCTCGTTTAAATTTTGTGTTTTGATGTTTCTTCCCATTTCTTATACTATTTTTAATTTATTACTCGCATAGATATACACAGTTTATTATGGATAGTTATTAGATAGATGATGAAATTATAATTGCGTAACTATTAAAGAAGTAATCATAATAACTGAAAAAATAAAATAATAATAGTAAAAACAAGTAATAAATACATAAAATAGTAATAATAAGGTTTTTTATTACATTTCCTATTCTTTCTTCTACTCTTTTACCATCGTTAGCAATAAAAAACAACACAACAGACAAAACTAGTTTATAAGTTATACTTTATAAATTTATATATCATTAACCAAATCAAATAAACAATAATATAAAATCTTTTCTTAATTTCTGTCTTCGTTTTCAATTCGACTTAATTTTAAATTAAATTTAAATTTAATTATAACAATTATCTAAAGATATATTAGTTGGACTGATGGTTTATTAAAAGTTAAAATATGACACAAGACAGTTTAAGAATAAAAAGGAAATGAAATGCTTCAAGTCGAAACTTAAACAAAAATTAAACCAAACGAAGAAATATGGAGGTTAAACCATTGTATTTAGGAGCACTTGTTTTTTTTATCCAAGCAGGTCGCTAACCTCACTTGGAACCCTCCTCTTTTATCCGGGCTTGGGACCGGCTATGAAGTCACTGCAAAGGAAAAGAAAGCAGACAGACCTCCCCGACAAGCACCTAAAAGATGGTATGAAAGCTGATTCTCAGTGATGAAAACACAGGACCCAGTTCTAACCTAAAAAGAAGAAGAATAAATAATAATAATAATAATAATAATAATATATAGATATTTACGTCAATAATCGCCCAGAACATTGAAAGGCATGTAACTGAGAATAAAATCCTAGCCACAGGACAGCTTGGTTGTAAAAAAAGAACACAAGGCACAAAAGAACTGCTTATCACTGACGCAGTAATTACAAACCAAGCCAGAAGCAAGCAGAGAAACCTATCGGTCGCCTGGGTAGATTACAAAAAAGCGTTCGACTCGGTCCCAAATAGCTGGCTGACAAGTGTTCTTGCCATTTATAAGAATGGTCCCGCTGCACCCAAACTACTCCAACACTTGATGGGGAAATGAAAAACAAGATTAAGAGTTCGCAATCAACAGCAAGAATATCTAACCCAGTAGCTACAAATAAAAAGGGGATTTTTCCAGGGCGATAGTATGAGTCCACTCTGGTTTTGTCTAGCCCTGAACCCACTTAGTGGGCAAAAACCATCTCTTACATTGTACATGCAACTTCACAACCAAATGGAAATTGAGGCCGGCTCTAGCAGGACTATAGGAATGGAGTTTGGACTGGACAAAAGAGAGGATGCCTAGTTGCGGGAGAAACAATGAAGCTCATGGATGGGGCAGAAATAAACCACCTACCAGCGAGAATTAGAAGTATCTTATCTATCTACCTATCAAAACTCATGAAGCAAAATATAAAAACCGAGTTCAGAAGGAGACTTCGACTATTACTAAAAACAGAACTCAATGCAAAAAATTCTTTCTCCGCTATTAATTCCTGGGCGATGCCAGTGGTGGAGTTCACATTTGGGGTTCTAAAATGGACCGATACTGACCTGCAAGGAATTGATAGGTTAGTACGCACAACACTTACCTCATATAGAAGCCATCATCCAAATTCCTCTACCGCGCGACTATATATCACTAGGCAGAATGGTGGGCGAGGTCTTTTGAGTCTGCGAGCGCGTCACCTAAAAAAAAAAAACAACTGGTAAAATATTTCAAGAGCTCCAACTTACCTATGCATGATGCAATAATGCGGTCATACAAAATCTTCACTCCCCTCAATTTGGCCAACGATGTAGCTATTGCTCCCTCTAATCAAGAGGAAGAAAGGATTCAAGAATGCAAGAATTGTCTTGCACATACTTACGCCCGGGTCGACTGAATCGGAAAACTGAGGGAGCCATATCCGCGGTGCGGGACCAGGTCGTACCTGTCATGATGCAGAACATCTCAAGCGATTTGTGCAGAGTGTGCAACCAGAAACCTGAAACCATACACCATATTATTGGCGTATGTGGCGTAATTTCTCCAAAAGAATACTTGAATAATTGAATTTTGCCGTATTACAAGTACAGCCCCATCCCAGTGATAGAGAATAGTTCCGCTAAAGTTTATACAATGATCGTAACTGATAGACAAATACAGCATAACAAACCGGACATTCTCTTTATCAACAAAAATGAAAAATTGGCCTTTATCATAGATTTTGCTGTACCACCAGAAAACAACAGACAGAAAGCATACGCTGAAAAAGTTACGAAATACCAGGATCTTTCACACGAGCTAAAAAGAATCTACTCACTTCATACAATCAAAATATTACCACTAATTATCTCGGCGACTGGCCTTGTTGAAAAGCGACCAGCGAAAAACCTTGTAAAGCTCTTCCTTAGTCGGGATCTGGTGGGCAAAAGCCCGTGATATTAGGAACCTGTCGTCTTGTCCGTCATTACGTGTTATACGAAGGGTAACCTTGACTTCGGTCCGGTTAGCCTCCCCCTTAAAGGTGATACGAAATAATAATAATAATAATAATAATAATAATGATAATAATAATAATAATGATGATGATGATAATAGAATAGAATAGAACTTTATTAACCGTTCAAATAAGTCAGAAGAACAACAAATGGTAGGTCAAGAGTATGGCAATTACAATGGTTATCGCAGTGGAAAAATATATAAAATAAACAATAATAAAGTACACACAAATTGCACTAAATTATGCAAAATAGTTCAAGATAATAGATAAGATGTAAATAATACATAAAGTCACAAATTATTAAATATTCGTGTGTTTAAGCAGCTCAAAATATTCATCGGTGCCATAAAAGGTGTTCTCTATAAAGAAAATTTTCATTTTCTGCTTAAATTCTCTGGTTGTTAGATGTTTAAGGCTGCTCAGCAGAACATTGTATAATTTAACATTGATTTTATTAGTTTGCGAGGACGTCAGTCTGGAGTACGGTAGGGCGATCTAATCACCTTGCCTGGTGTTATACTGATGTCTACTAGTTGGTGTGCGATAAGAATCAGCATTATCATGAATGTATAAAACAGATCTGTAGATGTAGATAGAGGGCAGCGTCATAATCTCCATATTCGCGAAGATGGGAATAATAATAATAATGGATATAAAATATGTATTTTCGAAATTAATATGTTATTTGATATTGCTTCTAATTCACTTAAAATGAACTTTAACAAACGGACAAATCTATAAACATAAAAGTTAATCAAACAAGCAAAACATTGAGACAATTGTCGTGTTATCCAATTTCAAGAATTGAAGTTAGAGCGGGCGCTTGAGTGGTAGCAGATTTGCTTAAATGCCATCAAGCCATTCTTAGAATAGACCTCTGCCTAGAAGGCAAACTACATAAAAAAACGACTTTGAACTTGAATCTACTTTAAGGGTGACATAGAATCGAGCTCGGAATCATACTGAACCTTAAGTATGTGCTAATAAATAATTTTTTTTGTCTGGCAGCTGAGAACTATGTTTATTTAATAACTCTTGTTTGATCCTGGGATAGAAGATACGCAAATACATTATATAACAATGTTATGGAGAATACCGTACAGTACCATAATTTCAAAACTTCTTCTTCTATTCGTCGTTTTTACGATTCATTTGTTTAGACCATATTCTTCTAAATGCCTGGAAAAGAGTTTCTTCAACTGTAAACAAAATCGCCAGACGGCATGTACACCGCCTATCCGAAAACCATGTGGCGGCATCGTTTATTGTAAACAGGTAATGATCATTTAAAGGCCGTGAAAACCGAACGGCTACGTTACGTTTTGATGTCCAATTTCACGGGTAATTGTTTTTTTCTGGTCGATGGTTAACTGGATGGGCAGAGTTTACATTATTGAGATCGATTACGACAATATGAAATGTCAAGTTAGAGCTTGTTGATACAATTAAAGCACTAGGGGGTGCAATATCAAAGTTATCCAACAATGATTGGAATAATTTAATTTCATAATATAATATAGAGAAACAATTAATGATTAGCGAAAAGGAAATGAAACTATATGATATTTGTCCTTATTAATTTTTCAAAGAAACTTCCACAGGTTACTGTAATACTATTTACTCGATTCCTCCTCCGGAGTTTGTTAATAAATTGAACTTGCTGACGTTTCAAGAATCCTATTCGGTTCTACAAAGCTTAACTGAAATTGAGTTGACATATATCTCGGTGTATTGTTTTTATTTCAAATAAAAGTTGATTTATTATTATTGAATGTTACAATGTTACAAGTCATTCCCGATAATTAAAATTTCAGTGTTAAAAATATTGATAAAAAAAAGTAAAAAGTATGTGCAAGTACTATTTACAAATCTGCTGGATTCCTTATACAGATTAATGACATTGTGGATTTGTGTTTAAGAATAGATAATTTAATTCATAGGATGCAAAAATTGTTTAGGTGACGGATTTTTCACTTAATGTGCGGCTAGCCTAACCATTAGAGTTCATTAATTTTATTAAATTTTCTATCATACTTTGTTAATTCAAAAATGAGGCGACAACATGTATTTTCAACTTTTCTGATTGTTTAAGGCATGAACCGTAAAAGAAAATAAAGCATATACAGTTCTAGCAGAGTAGGTCTATTTTTATTCCTGAGTTTTTCGAGATGTGTAATGCTAAAAGAAACATGGAACGATAATAGTATATTATGCAACAAGTGCGGTAAACAGCATTTGACTCACGAGCGAAGCGCAGCGGAGCGAGTTTTTAAAAAACGAGTGAGTTAAAAAGTTTACCGAACGTATTGCATACTATACTTTTTCTACGACCGTTAGTTTTTGGGTCCATTTTCGCTAAACAACACAAATACATTCACTGACATAACCGTCAGAATTGACAAACGTCAAAATTCAAATCGTGGGAAATATCTCCGAAAACATCCGATTGCTCCCAAACCCAGTAAAATCCCGGAAATGTCCGAAGTGGCTCGAATTCGTGGGACACGAAACTGACGTGGTAAAGTGACGCATCCCGCACGCTAGATCGGTGCGTAATTAGGTATTTTACAGACGGGAGTAAAAAAAAAATTACCCCATGTGTTGCATACTATACTTTTTCTACGACCGTTAGTTTTTGGGTACATTTTCGCAAAACATCACGAATACATTCACTGGCATGACCGTCAAAATTCAAATCGTGGGAAATATCTCCGAAAACATTCGATTACTCCCAAACCCGTGAGGTAAAATCCCTGACATGTCCGAAGTGGCTCGGATTCATGAGAAACGAAACTGACGTGGTAAAGTGACGCTTCCCGCACGCTAGATCTTTGGGTAATTTAAATTATTTTACAGACGGGAGTAGAAAAGGAAAGGAAAATCTTTCAAGTATTCATGCTTCGTTTCTTTCGTGGTGGAGTAGTAGATATCTGAGTACTAGAGTTTACTTTGTAAATATCAAGCAGCATAATATTTTTGGTCAGGTGTGATTAATTTTATATGAAAAACATATAAAAACCACAAAATGTTACATTTATCTGACTATGTAATGATCCATTAGTTTAGATCAAAAACCAAAAAAATGTATGCTCAAGTTGCCTACATTTCTGTTAAAAAACAAAACCCTAAATTGTTCAAAATTAATAATTTTGAACCCAAAATTATATCTATCGCTCGAAAAAAGACAAGCACGAACAAATTTCAACAAAAAAAAACGGTTCCCTAAATATTTTTACTTATTTATTTTTAAAATTTATGCTTGATACTACTTAACACAAAATAATGACTATTTCTCAGGAAAGGTAGCGAAAGTTACAAAATTACAATAGAAAGTATATATTTTTTAGTTCGAATTTTATCTTATTTGCATTTCGAAAAATTGTTCTTGGTACTAATTGTTACCTATAACGAGAAATATTGTTCCTATTTGCCTATTTTTTTTTCCCCGTGGCCGTATCACCATCCAGGTAACATTTGAGAGGTATGCGCCGCTCAGCTACAGCCGGAGCGGGAGTGGGTAAATTCACGATTTAAGTACCAACTTATAAAGAGTATTTTTTTTTTATAGGGCGCCAGGTGATTTCTTTACTTATATACCCCTAAAAACACTGACATCACCAAACCTAATTCGCACTCACTCCACGACATTCAGTTATTCGATTTAATGTCGAAATGGGGGGAAGAGTTATCCGCCGCACTGGGATCGGTATACAAGATGGCAATATGTAATTACATTAAACAACTTTACACGTTTTATTTTCCTACAGCGTAAATAATCTCTCGAGAGTATAGACGAGTATAAAAAGAGGGTAACCCCTTAAGGACAAAAAAAAAGGGAACCGTCAATAACCTCTTTTCAACTCATCGTTCAGGTAATATCTTAGATGTACAAACAAAATTATAGAATTCGCAATAAAACTTAAGTTGCGCACTACACCAGTCCTTTTTGTCGAATCGCTTTATTTCCTTTTACGTGTATGCGAAAATAAAAAAACAAATTCCACTACGTGGTACTTATCTGGAGTATGGACGTCGGTGTAGAACTCTCAGGTTAATTCCGAAGATTCCCGAAACTAAGGCGTTTGCTCTTCCCAATTTTCCGCATGTTCTAGGCGTACTATTATAATATCAACCAATACATGGCCTTTTCCGGATAAATAGCAACCTTCTGTTTCTCGTATCCGTCCGGGACCACAAAAAGCAAATTGCCAAAAAAAAGAAAAACGCCTCGTATCAGCACAAAAAACAAACCCAAAACACGAGACGTTTCTCTACAAAACCCAATATCTATTCAAGATAAGCTTTGGAACTTCTTAAAACAACCAGAGTACCACAAAAGTCGCCAAAGCGGGATGCAAAGTGAAAAATCCGTAAAACGCCAGAATAACTTTTCTGTTCACTAAGCAACCTAGTTATGACTCGTGCAAAATTTAAGAGCGATCACCGCGGTCACGGCTTATCGCGCTGCCTTTTTTTCTCTCGGTGCGTCGTTCCTTTTTTTCCACGCTTTCGTATTTTGCCATCAACATGAGTTTACCGGGTGTCTCAAATTTCAAACGTAACATAATCTTAATCCCCAACTACTTAACATAAAACTATCTCTTAAGGAAGAATAGGGTTTTTTAGGCAAATTACAAAAAAATGTGTTTTTCAGTTCGCATTGTAGTATATTTGTATATTGAAAAGTTGTTCTTGATAGTAATATTACTACTACTACTACGAATAATGTCGATTTCAGTAAAGTTCTTTTAATGGACATGGAATTTTATTTTATTATTAAAAGTTATTAATTATAATTATTCCAATCAGGTTTAGCTAAACTACATATAAAATATATGTTGCTAGTTGGCATTGTATTTTATTTGTTTTTTCTTTAATAATTCTCGATATTAATGTTTTAACAAAATTATATCCATATATTTACTGAAGGCCGCAGATTTTTAGACAAACAACACAAAAAACTATATATTTTGACTTTGCATTGTAGTTTTTAAGGTTGATCTTCATACTAA